TCAGGGTATCAGTCAACCCTTTTACGCAAATTTTCTCGGTTTGGTGAGAAATGTGATGGCATCAAATGGCGCCAGTGCCAGAAATAATGGTCATTTTCGTGATCAGGATGTCAAGACACTCGCATGTCAAAGTCCAGGTTTTGGGGTAAAAGTTGCGCTATCTCCTTTTTCACCAAAACCGATGAAAATTTGTGTAGGGGGTATTCAACATACTGATAACGAATAGGACATTCATTCTTGGCGCCGGCGCCAATGTAGGGCTTTGTTATCATCTCCGCTGTACTAAGGCTAGGCCTAGCGTGAACGGAATCACTATTCCTCCCAGGCTCGACCTCAGCAGAGCACTAAATTGCGTTGGTGTCGAGAAGTGAATGTCATTTGCATGATCAGGGTATCAGTCAACCCTTTTACGCAAATTTTCTCGGTTTGGTGAGAAATGTGATGGCATCAAATGGCGCCAGTGCCAGAAATAATGGTCATTTTCGTGATCAGGATGTCAGACACTCGCATGCCAAAGTCCAGGTTTTGGGGTAAAGGTGGCACCCAAAGGTGCTAAGTGGCGCCAGCGCCAAAAATGATTGTCATATCCGTGATCAGGAGGCCAAATATCATCTATGAGCGGACTTTCAACAAGAAATTTTCTTGAGTTTTTAGAGTACCTTGTCGTTGGAGTAAGGCCACAGCTCCTGAACTGCTCCCTTCTCTAGCAGGCTTGTGCCGAAGATTGTTCTGAAGTTTTCCCATAAAATTTTGCTGGTGGGTAACGGTTGTAACCCATGCTGCGCTGCGCCATTTGAGACCAGTTTCGATGTAGTTGGCGTCTGCTTTTTGTAACTTCGCCATGAAATGGATGTCGATTCATTCTACGTTCTCGGTTATTGACTGGACTGAAAGTTCTCTATATCTCATCGTCAGCTTTAAATTATTTTTTATTTCTCAAAAGAATCACAGAAGGAGCTAGAGCGTTCTTCCTTCTCGTACTTCATGTGAATATCTTGTCGTCAATTAAAAAGTTCACTCAAATAAGTATTCTCAATTCAGTTTCATTGTAGAAATCGAATGGGCACTATTTCGTGCGACTCCTAGTTAGGTAATAGGGAACAATTGTTGTGTGGACCGCATTCGAGAGACTGTATCGATGGATGGCGTTCGAACCAGAGAACGTGAAGTGGCACCCACTTCTCATATGCCGTGGTTTCACTCGAACGTGACACGCGAAGCGACAGAGAGGTGTGTAATTTTAACACTACAGATTTATCTATCGAGCTTTTTTCCTAATTCTGTGATTGAGCTATTCACAAAATCGTGTTATCTCACTGATTACTGTGCATGTGCACAAAATGGCTTTATGTTGCGTGAAATGGATACATGAAACCAGTAAGAGTACATTCATACTTTGCGGCAGCGTTTTGAGCGTCCGCTAGCGTATTAAAATGTCCACCTGCGTCCTCAGCGACCACGAAAGTATAGGTATCGATTCCGTTCCTGGCGTCCGCCAGCGTTTTGAGCGTCCACCGGCGTCTTTAGCGCTTCGAGCGACTACGAAAGTATACGTACTGATTACAGCTGAAAGCGGCGGACGCTCGGAACACTGGTGGATGCTCGAAAAGCTAGCGCTCAAAACGCTGTCGCAAAAATTTGAACGCACTTTAGACTTGTCTTCCGCGAACGAGCTGAGGCCGATCCCGAAAGGAATCGCGTGAAAATCCTGCATTTACAAACGCATCGAGGCTAAACTGAACTTTGGGCATGCTAGTGTCTACGAATGTTGGTGTAGAGTCCCATTTGCACATAACAAATTTCACAAGTCCTACGTCTTCACGAACTGTAATGGGCTTTATACTAACTACATTTGTTCTTCTCGCTCACGAAAGTGTTGACGGCAATGAGCCATCCAATGCACGACAAAAGCTTTTGGTGTCGATCGATTCTCTGCTAAGATGCACCATGCGCTCCCTTATAATCACAATCGTAGCACCATTTTGATGCGATTTCGCTTCCACAATAACTTGTGAAGCTGACCGCCTTAAAAATAGTTGTTTTTTCTTCCCGGGGGAGTCTAATGCCGTAATCAAAATGAGTGACCAAATTGGGTGATTCTGGAAGGAAGCAGGATGTGCGGCGCATCCCTAAATTGATCGACCAAAACCGAAAGCTTTGGCCACTTTATCCTTTCACACACAGCTTTGACCAAGAAAATATCGTTCTTTCAACTTTTTGATGTACGTTCATGTGTTGTGTGAAACATATATAGGGGCCATACATTTTTTTGGGGAGTGGTGGTCGTATTTGGTCGTTGGGAGAGAGGGGGTGGTCGTATGTGTCGTATGTGCCTTTTAGAAAAATTTGTCGCGTTGGTTTTCCGATTGACTTTGCGTGATTTTTCCTGTTTCATGTGCACTATATGCCCCCCCCCCCCCCCCCCTCTCCCTCCCTCCCGCTCCCCCTCACTACAATCGATCAGCTATTTTGGGGAAAAGTAGGAAAAATTTTCGCGAAAATTTTGGTAAAAAGTGGCAGAATGTTAGGAATTTCTCCCCATGTTTCACACTGGCTTCGACGGAAAACTTTTTGGTGCAAAAAAGGAAACAGTGGAGAAATTTATAGTAGACGTGTTGGGAAAGGGGAGGGATCGTACCGGGTCCTCATTAGTGTCGTGCTGACACCTTGTCTCGGAGGGGGGATCGGGGTCGTACCCACACCACCACCTCACACATCACCCTGTGTACGTTTATTGGCAAGGGCGCAGTGATGCACTAACATTTTGCGCACGAAGTTGCTAGGCACGGCAGGGAAGTTATTACTCTTTCTCATATTATCTTTCAGTTCGTTTTCAAACTGAAAAAAGTTCTCGCTTTAGCTTTGCTTTCTTTCTTTTTGCTTGTTCTCATCCACATGATGATCTATGATCAAAATCATTATTGTAGATGAGAACAAGGAAAAAATACTTACTAGAGAGCATCCACCGGTTTTCTTCTCAGCTAAGCATGTCTTCAGGGTGCGTTCGTACTTTGCGTCAGCCTTCTGAGCGTTTTGAGCGGCCAGGAAAGCATTGGTCGACCAAACGTTTCGATAACGCTAGATCTACACCTATATATTCCTAGTCGTTGAAAATGCACGCCAGCGTTTTCAACGACTAGGAATATATAGGTATAGATCTAGCGTTTTGAGCATATGCTGGTGTAGCGCTGGCGCAGGTTATAAGCACACTTTTAATTTTCTGGGCGGAGTGTATTTCTTGATTGATATTAGGAGTATACCCATTGTATGGTGCAAGCATAATTTTGCGCTCGCAGCGCCTGCACTCACCTCATTTCACGCAAAGACACAAACCAGCTTTCAAAACGAAAAGTATTTCTGGAAAAGAATGTCATTGTTGTAGGATGCTGCACCAAAGAGCTGACGGCACATTTCTGATAAGGGATTCGACGAATTTTCCAGGAGATTACACACTATCAATGGCTTATAGGGGAAAGGTACGACGTTACTGATTGTCACGACTGCCGTAACTCCACTAACTTTTGCTCAGGTGGAACATTATCGGATCTATCAAAGCGGGGGACAAATCACATGTGATAACGAGGAATTCTTTGCGAACCTCACCCAATTAGTCTCAGTGAGCATTTTTTTTCTTTTCTGTCGAATCGTGGTTCCACTGGTATCTTGGCGAAGGTAATTATCTTCCCTTATTTAGCACTATAAGCGCGATGCTGACGGGTTATGTCATCGTCTCGTAACTCCAATAATATGCGAGAGCTATCGAATTCCCTCGAGCAGTGACACTATTGAAGATCGTACAAGTGCTTTTCTCAAAGCTGGTCTTGTTATACCATCCGGTGATATCCGTCTCGGTGACATTATTGGCCACGGCGAATTTGGAGGTCTTTTGTAGTTTTTCTTTATGTTTCTCTTTATTTGCTGATCTCATGTTATCAGTGATTTCAGATGTTTTGGTGGGATTCTACAAAGACAAGAAAGTAGCAGTCAAAGTTTCGAAGAGACATGGCAATGGAATGTTAGATTCGTTGTTGGATGAATCACGGTTTATGGTGTGAGTGAAGTTCAGTTATTACAGTTACTTTCTTTTATGGATGTGGAGCGTTACTTCCAAGTCGCGGCATCACTCCCAACAGAGTATCTCTTAGGCGACGTTCAGACTTCGCGACGGCAGTGCTTGAGTCGCGCGTTCGACGCGATCGATGCAGTCGAAAGCATGCGCATCGATCGCGTCAAACGCGCGACTCAAGCGCTGCCGTCGCGAAGTCTGAACCTGTCTTAGCTAGTTGGTTAGATGGACACAGGGATAGCTAGTCGACTCGAGAGACGCAGACGGAGACACTACGCGCCGCAGCACTGCCACTTTGAGTAGATAGTTTTGTGCGATTGCTGCATACGTCACCCCGTTTGCAACGCTTGTTTTGCCGCATTCGTGGAAGCAACGTTCCAGACCCCTATTTTCCGGCGTACAAGGCTGCGTTCATACTTCGCGCTATGAACGCATTTCAAGGTGTAGGTAATTTGCAACGTCGCGAGAACGATTGTAAAGTTTTCAGTAATTTGGTTCATACTCTCTGGATTGCCTTGGCTGTTTTCGAGTTTTTGGATATTATTTTTATTTTTCCTTCACTTTTTTCAAACTTCGGTACTCACACCACCCCTCTTTTTCTCGATTCGCCGCTGCAGAAATCGGGAATGCTTGACAGACGAGCCACTATAATTTACAGTCTTTCGAGCCGCGCGGCAAGCAACAAGAAACAAAGGAAACAAATAAAACATTTGACAACTCGCTACACATGAGGGAACATTAAAAATCATGTCTTTATGCTCCGAAATCACGCTAGTTAGGCATCGCCCGTACGCGCGCGTCTTGTACGGCCGTATTCAGATAGATGTTACGCGACTGTTGGAATCTTTCGGAACTAACTTCTTTGATAGCTTTTTGTTGCACAGAGATCTCTCATCGAAATCTAGCTGGCCAGATTGCGCTGATTTGTTAGATGATGCCAACATTTATATTGGTGACGGGAAGTACATGGGCACATAGGAACCTTGTGGATTGTGCGGTCAACCGGGCACAGATCTATCAATTGGAAAAGACACAGCTCACTCTCAGTTTGCACCGATTGTAAGATATCCTATAATGCTCCTATTTATATTGCTGCACATGCGACTTTACTGGACTCGATCCGTCCAACCAGTGTCTTCAAATCACGAACGTTACTCCTTTCGCATCTACGAAAAGCGCGTTGACTATCACAGCTTATTTAGCGTATCTACTGTGTCGTTTGGACGGGGCCCCTTCGCTCCTGCCAGTCGAGATGTGCATTAGAAGTATCTTGCACAAAGCTATTTGTCAAAGAGGGCCTGATCTCGCCTCTCTTGCGCTCTTAAGACTGCATTGCAGCTCATTCCTATCAAAACCTGGTTTCTCCAGTCACCAAATGTGATCGCCGTCTAGAAAAACATGAGCGGGTGTCACTGCTCCGGTCGAAAATTTTAACTCTTTACTTTACTGCATCGAAATCAGCATGCTGTCACTATTGTCGTTTACAATGAAGCGCGCCGCTCAGATAGCACTAGTTGATTGCTTTTTTGTGGCGTGCTGCAAAATGCCTAATCGCATGCCCACCTTTATTCATACTTTCCGGTCAAACCTGGTTCTGTTATCAGAAATTGATCGTCGAGCTGCTTACGCCTTGACGAGCAGCGAACAGAATTCTTTATACTAGAGCGTTCTTCGACTCATAAACATCCATATCGCCAGGCGCAAGATGTTGGTAGTGGTACTAAGGAGAAATGCTCTTATAAGATTGCGAGCTGAAGTGCAGATGATATTAGTAACGTCTTTGGACAGAGTTCATTGTGAGGGATGCATCCATGATGGTAAACTCCAACAAAAATTTACAGATCTTTACCATTGAAGATGCTACGAGTGCTGAAATTCCATGATGGCTTCAAGTGGTTCCTTTGCACTTATATTGCAGCTCTCACAGATTTTCTGCCGAAATTTATTAGACGCGAGCCCTATAGTCATGACGTGAACTTAGCGAATGTGAGTTGAGCAACCAGTGCAAATCGCGCTGGTACCCCCCCCCTCCTCCTCGCCTAAGCGTAAGAGTGCGAGTAACAGTTTGCTAGAATTAATGTTAAGTATCTCTCAAGTAGAAGTTTTGCGTACCATACAAAGTCTCCAATTCATTACCATACCATCTTGTGCTTTCTCAAACTCCAGCAATGTGTTGATAATCGGGCAGCCGTCCGTGTTTTATCACGTCCAATCTACACCACATGTGAAATGCATCAGATAAGACTGTGGCCTTTTGAACCTGAAACAAACTCCATGGGCGAAATGCCATGGGAGTATTAGACGACTGCAGCTTCTACGTCGAACTTTCACGACTAAAGCCTGTCAAGTGAGGCTGCGTTTATACTTTGAATTAGCTTTCCAAGCGTACGACAGCGTTTTGAGCCACTAGGAAAGTATGGATATCAATGTAGCATTCTGAGGGTACGCCAGCGTTCTGAGCGTACGCCATAGTTTTGAGCTCTTCGTAGACAGTCGCGGAGAATGCTGGCGTACGCTCGAAACGCTCGATCGATACCTATACACTTTACATCACCGCAATTGTCGGGTCGCAATCAGCGGCTCGCACCTGCGGCGTTTCCATCATTGGTTGCTCCCTCCCTAAATCGATCTTTACCCGATCGCCATTGGTAGAGCAACGAGGCCGAACGCCCATTTGGACCGCGTTGCACGCCCTCCGACAGTCCGCAATGATGAGGACTGTACTTTCCTAGTCGCTCAAAACACTGTCTTACGTTGGTGTACGCTCGAAAAACAAACGCACCCTAAGTGAGTGCTGATAGAGTCACGGCAAATGAGCGCAATCATGTTTTGAGTGAATTGTATTTTTCTTATTTTAGTGATATATGCGACGGGATGTGTTACCTCGAAAGTCGTCAGATTGTTCATCGAGATTTGGCTGCACGTAATGTCCTGTTAGATGAAGATTACGTTGCGAAAGTGAGCGACTTTGGTCTAGCCAAAAAAGCTCATTCTGCAACTAACGATAACTCGTCCGGGAAATTTCCGATCAAATGGACTGCTCCGGAGGCTTTGCGGCATAGCGTAAGAAATATTTTTTCATTCAAAGTGTGCGTTTATTATTTCTAGTTGAGTTTTCGTTTCAGAATTTCTCAACGAAGAGTGATATGTGGTCATTTGGAGTGTTGCTGTGGGAAATATTCTCGTTCGGCCGTGTCCCCTATCCGCGCATTGTGAGCTTTCACCTCCTTTTTATATGTTGTTTTAGTTATTTTTCTTTTCTGTTCAGGGTGTCGATGGTCGTTCGGTATGTGTCGTCCATGTGCATGTTTTACGTGTTTGCTCTTTTCTAACAGTGTCGTGTTGTGGTTAAGCTTACAAGAACCTAAGCCTTTGTAGACAGCTGTTATCCCGTTGAAGTGCTTACCACTAAAATATTATCGCTAAATATCCATCCGAGAGCAGCCGTGGGATTCCTCCTTTGGCTTGCCTACGGATCATCCCTTTGGAGTGTCTCATGGTGAAGCAAGTGACACACGGGAATCACCGATCTGGCACAATTAACCCTTGCAGAATCAGGCCAAGTTACGATTTTTCCCCGATTTGGCCAAGTTTGCCTCTTTGGGGGAGTTTCACCATTGAACATGAATCTTATCTTGACACGAAACCGCCTGGCGCGATACATGCGACGCCACTACATGCCTGCTTCGACCCGACGTGTATGGCACGAGCTCCAATAAGTTCTATGGCGAACGGCGTGCTAGGCACCACTCCTTCTTGTCTACCATAGTAGATAGCCCTTTGCTAAGGTTCAGCATTAGCAGAGGAAGGTACCACTATCTCGAGGGGATGGTGCAGAGATGCAGAAGCTGACCACGCTATTGTGTGTAAATCCTTCCTCAATGACCCCCCTTGGCGCCATCCAGAAGGTCAAACTACCCTAGGTCCGTAGCCACAGAGTGTATCTTTTTGCCTCCTTGAAAGTGCGTGCAAGGACACTAGGGGTCTGTAACTTAAGCCTGTTCGCTTTTCTTCAGACGGGCTTCGTGCATATCACGCTCCTACAGCCTGTACTGCTGTATCCACATTATCTTTTTGAGCCGCTTTACCAAGTAATCGCGATGAAGATTACATCTCTAAGGACACCTCCTGCGATCAAGTGTGCGGATGGTGTTCGAATATGAACCAGTAGTCATTGAGTGACTTTCCAATTGAAAAAAAAGTCAAAAAATGCCTTTATGAAGATCTTTCTTGGCAGTCGTGCAGTAGCATTGGACGAGTTTACCGACATTGCTGGCTAATGTGCACCTTGCCACTTACGGACAACTTTAACTCAATCCCTTTGAACGCGTCGATCTTCTCTTTTTCTCTGCACTCTCTCGTCCGCATGGCCGTTGTGACTTCGCTCACTCCAGCTTTTCACCGACTATAAGTAGCTCACCCACCCCGGAGTCCCCTCCCCTTGAAAAATCCCGTTTCCTGGCTCGCCATACGTTTTTTGCACGTTTCGATGCTTTGGCAGCCGCTGCCCTCTATCCGTCTGCGTCACAGGGTTTCGTAACAGGACCATGCACAAAAGTTCAAGATGTCACGTAACGCCTGCGACCTGCGCGCATCACGGGGTGAATGGTGAATCACGAGTCGTTTCTTTGCATGATCCGGTACTAAATGCCGTGCAACACTGAAAAAACCATACAGTGACTTTTCAACAGCAAACATCGTCCGAAAACACCATCTGTAAAATAGAACATTAAGATCACCGCAACCCGACGGACCGTTGCACCAATCCGGCTGAATCATTAGTGAGTTGAAGCAGCGCTAAAGCGCATCTCACCATGGAATGGACTGTTAATGTTGCTTATTCTCAGAAAGTGCTCAAGGGAAGCAAGACATTCGTGAGTACGAGCGCATATAGCGGAGGTGACATGCTGGTCATCCCCGAGCACGGCACGATGTAAGCAGCAAAGGCGTTGTCGTGTAGGGGTGACAGGCCAAAGATGAAATCACGCATTTTTTTTTGCTTTTTATCTCGTTTTTTCAAATGACGAAAGTGGTACAGTGTCTGCGGCAGAGTGGGCTACCGAAAACACGAAAAAATTCACTTTTTCTCGATCGCGGGACGGGTCTTGAAGTCAAAATGAAAATCATATTCGAACCCACGATGATCTCTTTGAGGTTGGAATGGTGGTTTTTGTTTGGTGGTACAAAGTTCTCAATGTTCGCCCGTATAGTACAAGGGAAGTTCAAAGTATCTTCGGCATCGGGGTAGTTTAGCAGTGATGAAGGAATTTAAATATCTTCAGTAGTGACGACACTCTTTGAGAGTATAATTACAAAATTTTATTCAGTTATCATCAATGCTATTCTAGTTATCCTTGGTGAAAGAAGACCAGAATGACTGATGCGACAATGTTGAGAAAATGATTACTGATTGAAAAAAAATGAGAAAATGAAAAGAAAATTGAGAAAATGATCAGTGATTACTTCTTGTTCCCCAACCTAAAAAAGATCTTCGTGGGAAGCGTTTTTCTGACGAGGAAGAGCTGAAGGCGGCAATTGATGCACTTTCAGGGGCAATGAAGGAAAATATTGTTTACAGGGTACTGAAAACTTAGTTTCCTGGGCAAACAGGTGTATCTAAGGTAGGGGGGCTACACTGAAAATAAATTTTATTCAGAATTTTCTGCCTTTTCCTTAACACATATACGAGAATACACCGAACAACCCTCGTATATTTCACGTATTGCTGATGATGGCGCCAGTGGCGTGCACTGGACCAAGATAATTGGCAAAAAGTCGAAGCGCATCTCAATAAAGGCTGCGGGACTCATTCAGAAGAAAAACGACTCAAAAAGAATACCCCCTTATAGTTAGTATCAACTTCTATGTCGCTTGGGAAAGCAAGTTCATGCAGAGATGACCCTATCCGGGTTGAATGGTGGCTCAGTGTTGCATGTAGGTGAAAGGACGGACTTCTTGGCGTTGGCCAAGTCATATTTAAAGTAACACTGCTCTCGGTGAGCAGCGGAGCACGGCCACACATGACGTGCTTAATATAATGGAGCAGTCTCCAAGGCACGTGAGCCAGCTCCAAAACTTTCCATTTGAAAATTCAGTTTAGGGGGGTGTTGGTCAGGTCTATCACTAGGACTCCTTCATTAAAATCACATCATCAACCTCCTCTTCGGCTGCATACCATTAGAAGAAGGGAGCTCACAGTGATGAGCTAGCTCCGCCCATATGACCACCGCGGACTGTGGCTTTGAAAGCGTTCGATTCGCTGCCTTTTTAGTGTTGATGTTGGAAAGCTCATTTCAAAAGGCTTGAATGATTTGGAAATGGGCGAAAGCAATTCCGAGTTTTCGTTCAGCGAAGTACAAGGAAAAATCACTCACGAATGGCAAACATGTCACCGGCAATATAACCAGGTAGGTTCTTCGGGAGGACGACATGGTGCAGCAGTAAAAGACGCTACACCATTCACTCAAACAAGTGGACTACGATCGAGATAGTACGTGAAATGCCATTCCCCTGATAATGAGATGACTTGTCAGATTGTTTTGTGGGAGTGGAAGTTATTAAGGAGGCAGCTATACCCTCCGGTCACCCTCTCCCCACCATGACCCGTCGCTCATTGGAGTGTATATTCAAAATACTGTGATGAAATATTGATGGCGACGTTTAACAACGGACGTCGGTCTGGTCCCATATGTGGAAGATGGGCGGGTCCCACAACCACATTACGCCTTCTAATTGGTGCTCCCCTCTTCTAAAAAGATAAAGCAGAAGCGGATGCACACTTCGAACGCCCGCCATTGCGAAGCACAGTGATTCCTGGACTTGGCCAATGCCGATCACACGGATTGATTGATCCTTACGATCGTTCTAGACATGATTCCGTTCCGAGAAGAGAGCAAGTTCGAGCTGGCACTTTTGCCACAGTTTGAGCTTGGACTCGAAGGCACAGCCTGTTCATAGTGAGCAGGGGTTCTTATATCAAATTCACAGAAGCTCACTCTCATACTGAGAGTTACTGTTATGAGGGCTTTAAGAAGTTCTGAAACCCTCACAACTTGTCAGTCCGCTGTACGAGCAAAAGGTCCGAATACTGAGCGCGACAGCACGGACAGCAGACGACGAGGAACGGTAGTTCAAGGGCGAGCAATACCGCAGTCGTCCATGCGGCACTTGCAGTGATTCTCTGCCGCTACAACAGGGCGCCGACAGCCATGGAGCCTAAGGTCCTGGATCTTTGTAATGCACATAGGAGTCGCAACAGCGGTGACTTCCGATATGGCGGATCTGGTTACCCACAAGCCACAAAACAAATAAAAAACTGGCTAGTTTGACGCAGCTATTAGCGTCATCCCATTCAAAGGCGCTGGTTTTTTTTTTGAAAATAAACAAAGAGGGAATAAATAGAAAAGTGATATTTTAAGCTTTAGGATTTGATGGAATCCCTACCCTTCACAATGGACCCGCTTCCAGTGCCCCGGGGGCCTTTGGACCTCTGGTACCTTCGATTTTTCAATAAGTGTGGGTAAATTGCTGTTGTTGCCAATTTCGGCAAATGACAAAACATTGTAGCGTCTGCCGTTGGAGAGTCTCTCTACAAAGCTGAATAGAACAGTTGTAGATCGCATGGCTTTTATGACGGGGCGAATGGGCGTTATTGACTCAGTATGGTCTCAGTATTGTTTGTGTCCCAGCACTGCCCTACAATACAGTTACTCGGGGTCTGGTACTATGACGAGCAACGGTGGCCTTGTAGTTGTGTGGTAGCATCCATTTGTCGATCTGAATGCCGAGGAACAGGCAATATGCACCGACAGTGACGGATTTGTTCTCTGTATAGAGCCGCTTGAAAGCCAGTGGGAATCCTTTGCTATGATGATCATCCACTTGCGCCCACGTAACTCTTCATGGTAGAACTCGGGCGGCTTCTCATCTGCATTCATACAAAATTGACGATTGTGAGTTTCGGCTCGAGGTCCGAGACCACCCATATTCCATTAAGCCTGGCGTGCGTTTCACGTGAGTGCATCACATGCTGGAGAACATTACTGCTAGAGGTATAGAATCGGTACTGCGTTCGTGCTTCTATAAGAAAATTAGGTACCCATGCGCACACCCCTTGACCATCCTCAGTTTATCGGTCATAACACGTACAGTAATTGCAGCAGGGATGTCAGTCTCGCGGGGAAAGCTCGACAAGGGTCCAGGCTCTCTGATCAGATATTCAGTGCCTGACTTCATCCACCCTTTTTTCTTGTGCAGGATGAATATTATGGGACCATCCACGACAACAAATTTTTTCCTTTCTTCCTTGTACGGGCTCCTGAACCAAATCTTCCACCGTGTATTTTTTTTTTT